GGGGGAGCACCCCCTCAAAGTGACAGGCCGTCAAAAAAAAAAAACCGGGGGGGTTCTGCACAAGACCCAGGAAGGGTGGGCCGCGAGAAATCCAACGTCCCCCGTGTGCAGGTTCGTCGATGCGGGGTCGCAGGGAGGAGGGTCTGGAACAGTGGAAAAATATAAAAAAAAAATATTTGACCCCTGCGGGCAGTGCGGGGGCGGCCCAACGTGGGTTGGATGAGGGCCTGGTTGGGGCGCGCCGTGCGGCCAAGCCGGGTCAAAGCTAGACGGGGCTGCAGATGGCAGACCCCAGGCGGATCAGGGCCTCACGCATTGAAAGGTAGGCGTCGGTTTCATTCATGACGGCGATGACAATTTGTGGCATATTTTAAAACAACACATTCATGGCAATCATAAGTCAGACCCTGTTTGGCATACCAATGTCAAAACACATTGAAAATCAATCACAGTGCGGCGAACCACAAGTTTCAAACAATGATAACAGGCAAGTGTGTCATAGTGTGTGTTCACTCATGAGACTGATGGACATTCATTAGCACATCATTATGTAAGAACACATTCATTAACACATCATCCCTATGTCGCATCTGAAATTAACAGCACATTCATAATGGAGGCATCCATAACATGCAGGTGCGTGGCATCGGAGAAGCACATAATTTGCAACAATCACGACAACAGAGCAGAAAACAATCACCAAACAACAGCGACTCAGATGCAAGACCAATGTTGGCGGAGGAACAAGAACAAGAGCAAATATATGACAAAGCATTTCAATGGAAATGCGTATGTACAAGGCTGAAGCCAAAAACTGGACCCGTAGTCTCTACTGTACAACCGAGTAGCAAAAAAAAACTGGACCCATCGTCTCTGCTACACAACAGAGTAGCCAAAAAAAACTGGACCCGTTGATGGGCGTCGTCTGTACTGTACAACCGAGTAGCAAAAAAACAAAAGAAAACCCTAATGTCCACATACTGTCGAGTCTGTCGTCGTCTCCATGGAACAACATCGACATAAATATGCAACAACCCTGCCGACAGAGCGTCCATGCTGTACAGCCACGCGAAAAACAAAAAAAAAACTAATGAAAAAAAAAAAAAAAAAACACCACGGACGTCGTCATCTCCCACCAGAGCGCGCGCGGCCTCTCCCGGAGGACGGACGGCCATGCGGTCCTCCCCGGCGCCCTCCTCTCCCTCCGGCACCTGTGCCCCGTGCCCCGCTGACGTATGCCGCATGTGCTGCAGCGGCCGCCGCGGCCACGTGTGCCCTGTGTCTGCGGGCCACAGTCTCGATCGGCTCTGACTCAGTGTCTGCGTCCTCGTCCTCCTCCGCCTGTGCAGCAATCCCCCTCTCTCTCTCCCTCTGAATCGCGTCCAATGCTGCCTGCCCAACGGCGACCCCTGCAGCGAGTCGAGCCTCAACCTCCGAGAGGCCATGCTGTCGTCTCGTCCCGGGACGCATCAACGACCCCTCATCGCCCGATGTGAACTGCTCTTCCCGCAGCCTGTCCGTGGATGTCCCTGGGGCCTCGAGGACCAATGATCTCCTTGTCTCCGCTCGTGACAAACCAAGCATGCGGCCTGCCATCTGTAGGCTCGGACGTACGGACCCACCCTCCGCAGCCTGCGTCTGAACAGGCGTACGTCCCGTGAAGACGCCCCTCCCGGCGTCGTAATCCGCCCACAACCGGTCCTCGACCCGACGAACAGTTGACCATCCGCCACCCACACCTCCTCGGACTGGTGGCGGGGAACCGCCACTGTGCGCAACTTCGGGTGCCACCGTCCGGTCCCCGGTGTCGACCCTGACCTCTGGAGTCCGTGCGGGCGGTGGAGGCATCGATCCTGCACTATCTCTGCCGCCGTCGCTGGGTCTGCCGGACCGCACCTCACCCGCATCGGACTCCCTCCCTCTAACGCCGCTGAGCGACGAACGCGACCAGTGAGGGCTCTGCACTGTGAACGGCGGCGGTGAATATACCCTCCCAGGGGCCCGCTGCTTGCCGCTCTTGCGGCTCACGTGTGCGAAAGGGTCATCCGTCAATGCATGCGCCAAAGCGTCGACACCGAAGAAAGTGTGCGCTGTGTCGTCAGGGCACAAGGGAGGCACTGTGGGGTCCCTCAACACCAAGGCGAGCCTATACGGATCGTCCTCGGGACCGTGGTCGTCGTCATCGTCGCCGTGCGGTCCATCGTCTCCACCGACACCCGCGGTATCCCCATCTCCACCGGGTCCACCCTCTCCTCTGCCGCACACTGCGGCACCCTGTCCCTCATCACCCGCGGTCTCGCTGTCACCACGGCCCATGACAACATCCTGCCCCTCAGGGACACTAGGGGACCCACCGCCCATGACAACATCCTGCCCCTCAGGGACACCCGCGGTCTCCTCGTCGCCGCGTCGTCCACCATCTGACCCACTTCCCGCGGCGGCATCCTGCCCCTCATAATCGAACTCCCCCTGAACCGCCTCCTCAGGGACACCCAAGTCGTCGACGTCACGGCTCCCCCCCCCTCCTGTCTCCAAGTCCCTCTGCCGACTCTGCTCGTCGAGAAACGCGAACCGACCCTCCCATTGTGGCAAACTCCTCAGCCGCTCCTCCTCCTCTTGGTCCAAACGGGCATCCTTCTCCTCCTCAGTCTCAATAGGGCCCCGCTCAACGTCCGCGTCTGTGCGCACCTCCTCCGGTGAGGCACGTCGACGTCCCTCGACACTGAAATCTCCCAAGCTCCCGCCAAGCCCTACGATGTCGAAGTCCTGTCTGCGGAGCACCGACGGCGAGCGGGGGCGGATACCGGCGTCGGAAGGAGTCCTCTCCCCCCCACGAATCTCGCCGTCATGTGTCCGGTCTCTGCCTGCTGCCGACACCAACCTCTCCGAATGCCTAAGTGCCTCGGGCTGTGCAAAGATCGGATGATGGGAGGGAGAGAAGCGACGATCGTGAAGAGGCACCTCCTCATCCTCGGCCTCCCCCTCGGCCTCGCTGTCGCTCCTAACCTCCCAACGCCTGCCTGTATGCCGAAGACCTCCCCGTGGCTGCTGCTCCCCCGAGTCGTTCACGCGAACCTCCGAATGCAAACATCCTCCACCACCACCGCCGGCTCTGCTGCTGCCACTCGCCTGCGAGGTCGACGGCACATCACCAGTGATAACTGATGTGAATGAATCCATGCCGTCACGACCCCCACCATAAGTGAAGTACACTCTCTCAGCCGTCGGGTCGCGACTCAGCGGCGTGTCATCATCGTCAGTCCAGTCGTCGTCGATGTCGTCGTCTGCCGCAGCAGCGTCCACATCATCCCCACCCTCCAGCCACGGTCGCAGCTCCGTCGCTCTGCTGCCGAACACGTCCCGAACCGAACGGGCTCTGGACGGTCGGCTGTCACGGAAAGCGACAATCTACCGCTGGATCTTCTGCTCGAGAACACTGCCATCAGGTCGCGCTCCCCACACCTCGGGCTCCACATCTCCCTCCTCATCCTCCTCCTCTGCCGCCGTCCCCCCCCCGACTGGTCCCCATAACCCATGGCAACACGTAGCCACCACCCTGCCGTGCGCACGAGGCCAGTTTGAGATTGGTGGCAATCTCAACCAGCTGTGCAAGCTTGGCGAACCCAAGCTTGCAGCGCCTCGCCGTGCTGACGCGCTCGTGCTCCGCCCAGTTCCTCTCCGCTGGAGAGGCAGATGTCCAAAAGTGCATGACACGGATGGCGATGGTGCGCAACTCCGGGTGGGCACGTCCATGCTCAAACCACCACGCTGCACATCGCTCGGTCTCGCTGTCCCCCCTGCAATCGGCCGCCTCGGCATCGAAGAGGTCACGATCTCCCCAATCCCCTCGCCTGGAGTGGAACGCCCTCATCTGGTCCCTCACGCTCCTGTACAATAAGCCGACCGGATCGCCGCCGGTCTGCGCCAGGAGAAATCTGTTGCACTCCTCGACCACACAACAGTCGGCGGCGGTCGTCTGCAGCGAATGGTAATACGTGAGGGACCGTCGACGAGGGTTGAGGAGGTGGGCCGCGGCATGTGCGGGCTCTAGCATGTGGAGGTTGTGGATGGCAACCTCACGCACGCACGACTCGATCATGTCCTCCGGCACGTCCACCCTCCTCATCAAGTGCAGCAGATGCTGACTCCACTCGTAAACAACGGACATCATCATCCCACCTCTATCCATCCTGCGCAACAGCTGGTGGACGGGCGACATGACTAGGATGGCGTACTGGACACGCTGCCAAAACTCCCCGTCCCGGATCTGCTGCTGCACCCACTGCGCCTGAGATACGTGGGCGCGATCCCACAGGATGCGTGCCCAAGCATCCCCGTGCAATATGCTCTCCAATGCGTCTCGTCGACCTTTGAGACACATCAGCATCAGGAAGACCGATGCAAACCGTGTCTCAACGGGCTCGACGAGCTGCACGCGAGGGCTCACATTCCTAAACAGGGTGTGAGCAGCGTCGTGCGATTTAATAAATCGTACAAGCGCTTGAGCGCGGATGATGGTCTCCTTGACCCACACCACTCGCGTCCCGATATCTGACAACATCAAGTTGCAGACATGGGTGGAGCAGGGGAGCCAAGTGATCCTCCTGATGTCAGGCTCGGGGTCTGCGGCGAACCTGCGCGCTGCCGCCGTATAGTTACTGGCGGAGTCTATGCAGAAGCCGATCACGTCCTTTGCAAGAAAGGACAAGATGATGGCCCGCCACCTACGGTACATGACGTCCGCTGTGTCTCGGACCGACCCGTCACGTGCGATGGTGGCGTACAGCAGGGCGCCATTGGCGCCCCCGACGAGGAAGTTCACGAGCGGCTTGCCGCTGCGCGACTTCCTCCCGTCGGAACGGATAGTGGCACCGCTGTGCCGGAAAGTGGCGCGCACCTCGCTCACCATCGTCGCCACCTTCGCCCTCTGCGAAGGGATACCGGCGCCCGCTGTAACCCTGTAGGAGGGAAACCGGAACTGGATAGAGCGAGGCACTCTCTCTGCTGCTTGCCGCACCCTCTGGAACTCCGGACCACGAAAGGCGTTGAATGGCAACTTCTTCACGTAGATCCACTGAAGCCACGCGTCTGTGAACTCGGCCAACTTCTCCCTGGCATACATCTCGTCAATCGTGGTCTGCCGAGCCCTCTTCTCCCTGCCCGTGTCTGGCACCTCCACAACAGCCTGCCCCACTGTCCTCTTCTCCCTCCTCGCGCGGTCCAACTCAGGTCGCGGCGCCCTAGGAGCGGGACCCGCTCGACCAACGCCTCTCGACGTCATCACCACCTCCTCCCTTGGCAGATCAGGCTCTCTGACTGCCTCGTCTGCCTCGTCTGCCACCCCCCCCTCCCTGGCCCCACCCTCGCGGCCCTCCTCCTCATCGAGGGCGTCCTGAATGTCGTCCCTCTCTGCGTCATCCATCCACTGTCTCTGGCCACCCGCGGGCGCTCTCGTGTCCCGTATGCCCTCGTCTGCCATCCACCTCTGCACTCGCTGAGCAGTAGACGGCACAAATGTGTAGTCCGTGTCGTTCCAGAGTTCCGCGAGAACTCTCATCCCCCTAGCCTTGCAGAACTTCGACTGCGTGAAATGACGCGCGGCCTTCGACGACCCCCCCTGAAACAGGTGGCCGCATAAGTTGCAACGCAACTTTCGGTCCCCGTGCATCTTGGACTGGTCCCCCACGTACTGGCCCGCGGTGACGAAGTTCCAAATAATGTTCCCTCGCCTCAACTTCGCCATCTCCTTCTCCGACAGCGGGTTGAATTGGGCACCCCCAGAACCCCCCGCACCGCTGCTCCCTGCACCCCCCGTCATCGCCCCCCGACAAGGATCCAACAAGTCGTGGCCTCGATCTTGGATGTCGTCCGACCGTGCCGCACCGTCGATGTAGCGTCCCCTCGATGTCGCCAAACCCTGACGTCCCCGCCGCTCCTGCCGCCGTGTCCCCTTGATGCCGCGCAAGCCCACGGCACAGTAGCACCCCGACCGGCCACCCAGCAGCGCGCCACGGAGGCGGGCAGCCTTGCCCGGCCGCACTCGGCCGTGATCGGCCTCGATCGGCCGTGCCCGGCCGCGGCCGGGCACTAAAATGGCCGCGCGCTGGAGAACGACGCGCGCGGTGATGGCGACGGCCGTGTGGCGGCCGCTGGGCAGCGCGGGGCTGCTGTCCCGCGTGCTCGCGCGGCGCGCGCCGCTGCAGGATGCGCAAGATGAAGAAGAAGAAGAAGAAGAAGAAGAAGATCTCTCTCTCTCTCTTTCTCTCTCTCTCTCTTTCTCTCTCTCTCTCTCTCTCTCTCTCTCTCTCTTTCTCTCTCTCTCTCTTTTTCTCTCTCTCTCTCTCTCTCTCTTTCTCTCTCTCTCTCTCTCTCTCAAGAGTCTCTCTCCCTCTCTCTCTCTCTCTCTCTCTCNCCCCCTCCCTGGCCCCACCCTCGCGGCCCTCCTCCTCATCGAGGGCGTCCTGAATGTCGTCCCTCTCTGCGTCGTCCATCCGCTGTCTCTGGCCACCCACGGGCGCTCTCGTGTCCCGTATGCCCTCTTCTGCCATCCACCTCTGCACCCGCTGAGCAGTGGACGACACAAATGTGTAGTCTGTGCCTGTCCAGAGTTCTGCGAGAACTCTCATCCCCCCAGCCTTGCAGAACTTCGACTGCGTGAAATGACGCGCGGCCTTTGACGACCCCCCCTGAAACAGGTGGCCGCATAAGTTGCAACGCAACTTTCGGTCCCCGTGCATCTTCGACTGGTCCCCGACGTACTGGCCCGTGGTGACGTAGTTCCAAACAATGTTCCCTCGCCTCAACTTCGCCATCTCTTTCACGGACACCGGGTTGAATTGGGCACCCCCAGACCCCCCCGCACCGCTGGTCCCTGCACCCCCCGTCATCGGCCCCCCACCAGGATTCAACAAGTCGTGACCTCGATCTTCGATGTCGTCTGACCGTGCCGCACCCTCGATGTAGCGCCCCCTCGATGTCGCTGCACCCCGCCGCCCCCCCCGCTCCTGCCGCCGTGTCCCCCTGTTGTTGCTCCAGGCTATGGCCCACCAGCACCCCGGTCGGCCGCCCTCAACCGGCCTTCCGAGGCGGGCAGCTCCGCCCGGCCGCCGTCGGCCGTGTGCGGCCTCGCTCGGCCGCGTTCGGCCGCGCTCGGCCGCGTTCGGCCTCGTTCGGCCGTGTCCGGCCGCGACCGGGCACTAAAAACGCTGCGCGCTTGAAACGGCCGCGCGAGGCGATGGCGACGGCCGTGCGGCGGCTGCAAGGCAGCCCAGTCCCGCGTGCTCAAGCGGCGCGCGCCGCTGCAGGGTGCGCACAAAGAAGAAGAAGAAGAAGAAGAAGAAGAAGAAGAAGATCTCTCTCTCTCTCTTTCTCTCCTTCTCTCTCTCTCTCTCTCACGAGTCTGTCTCTCTGTCTCTCTCTCTCTCTCTCTCTCTCTCTCTCTCTCTCTCTCACACACACACACACACACACACACACACAGAGTGGTGAGCAGGCATTTGGGCAGCATAACGGCAACATCAACAACTGTTGCCGTTTCAGATAAATGGCAGCATTTATCTGAAACGGCAACAGTTTTGTTGTGGCCTGGGCCTGGACCCACCGCCCTCCCCGCACTGCCCACTGCCCACACAGTGCCCCTCACTCGCTGGCACCAAAACAGGGCCAAAATGGCCCACCGGGCTTTTTTTTTTTTTTTTTTTATCTGTTTTTATTTTTTCTGCGCCGCGCCGAAGGTCAGACACCCAAAAAAAAAATATGGGCGTGTAGGGCTTTTCCAACCCTACACGCCTATATATATATATCGTCAAATAGAACTGCCCGGTAAACCGTAGGCAGAGAGGGAGAAGAGGACAACAAACAAGGGGCTGTGACAAATATATATATATATTTTTACAAGTAAAAAATGGAAAAAAAAATTAATGTACCATACTCGACAGGTCGGCCTAGGCCGAACGGGGCCGATTCGGTCATCGGCATAGGCCGCGGCAGATTCGGACCCGCGGCCGGGCGTGCAACATAGCCTAAGACAACACCAGTACAAGGTAAACTTGGAGAAATGTGAGTTTGGTCACACCGAGATCTTGTACTTGCGTCATGAAATCTCCGCAGATGGGTTGAGGCCGGACGATGCCAAAGTGGCCAGCATACGAGACTGGCCCAGACCTCAGACTGTTACTGAGGTCCGATCGTTTTTGGGGATGACGGGCTATTATCGTCCGTTTGTTAAGAACTATAGTACTATAGCTTCCCTACTGACAGATCTAACTCGACTTGACAACCCTTGGGAGTGAACTGAAGAGTGTGAGGCAAGCTTCAAGAAATTGAAGTATGCTCTAACACACTACGAGGTCCTCAAACTTAGGGATCCTGATAAGCCATTTGTTGTGACAACAGATGCCAGCCAATATGGCATAGGCGAGGTCCTTGCGCAAAAGGAGGGGCCAAAGTTGAGACCGATCGAGTATACGAGTAAGAAGATGCCGTCTCAAAAGCTAGCAAAGTCCACGTATGAGCGTGAGCTCTATGCCCTATATAGAGCACTGGTTCACTGAAGACATTATCTCCTCGGCAGATTCTTCTATGTGAGATTTGACCATGAGACCTTGCGCTGGATTAAGACACAACTTGTGCTCTCTAACGCACTCAAGCGGTGGATTCAAGTGATAGACATGTATGACTATCAACTTGATCCAATCAAGGGAGAGTACAACAAAGTGGCTGATGCACTATCTCGTCGGGCAGATTATCTGGGCGTGTTAGTCACTGAGTTTGGCATATCTAACGATCTAACTCGATCATTGGTGGAAGCCTATCAGCAAGATCCAGTTATGTATGAGATCATCTGTAAATTCCAAGCGAAGGACAAAGCGACTTCGGATGAATTTACGATGGTAGGTGGCTTGTTGTTTCTTGAGAAGGCAGGGAATAAAAGACTGTGTGTTCCTTATAGAGAGTCTTTGCGTAGTTTATTTTTAGGTGAGTGTCATGATGCAACTGGCCATTTCGGTTATAGGAAAACGTCAGCTAACTTGGTACATAAATTCTGGTGGCATTCTATGATGGGAGATGCCAAGAAGTACGTCGAAACCTGCCAGGTTCGTCAACGGGACAAACCCAGGACTCAGGCTCCGCTTGGGCTCATCAAGCCCTTGCCGATTCCTGAAGGTGCTGGTCAGAGTGTGTCCATGGACTTCATGGATACTCTTGTGACCAGCAGGTCTAGGACAAGGCACATCTTTGTTATAGTAGACCGTTTTTTTAAGTATGCAAGACTAATCACTATGCCTGAAACTGCCAAGACTGATTACGTCCTCAGACTGTTATGGATAACTGGGTACAGGATTTTGGTTTACCTAAGTCCATAGTCAGTGATAGAGATGTTCACTTTACTAGCGAAGTGTGGCAGAACACTGCCCAACAAATGGGAACCAGACTGCACATAACATCAGGGAATCACCCTGAGTCAAATGGACCGGCGAAACTGATGAACAAAGTAGTGCAACATTTACTAAGGCACTACATCAAGCCAAGCCAGGATGACTGGGACTAGAATTTGCCTCTCGTCGCCAACCTGTACAACAACACTGTACATAGCGCTACTGGCATGACTCCCAACCAACTGCATCTTGGTTGGAATCCCCGTTTCGCCCTTGATTTCCTACTACCTGAGAAACAGGCCACTGCAACACCTGGTAGCGTAGAATTTGTTGTCAAATACGAACAGATGCTGGAGCAGGCCGTTGAGCACATGAGGAAATCTCAAGATGCTATGATTGCATCTGAGAACAAACACAGACAACCTTTTAACTTTCAGGTAGGGGACAAGGTCTGGGTAAAGTCAACTGAACTGGGACAGGAACTGGGAATATCTAGAAAACTCATGCCACAGTATTTCAGTCCCTGGGAGGTCCTAGACATAGTGGGGGATCAGGTGGACGGACCTTCTTATGTGATTCACGTCCCACCTCATCTACGTACACACCCAGTTTTTCACGCATCCAAGCTGGCACCTTTCGCAGAGACTGCACAATTTCCTTCCAGACGGTTAATGCTGCCCCCGACCATGGATGGCGAAGTCGACATCGACGGAATCGTAGAGCATCGAGTGATCCCAATTCCTAAGCCGCCGGGCAGAGGCTGCCCTCCTAAGCCAAGAATGCAATACCGTGTGAGATTCAGACATCATCTGGATCCCAAGGAAGATTGGTGGTTCACCAGAGAAGAACTCAAGAGAACAGCACCCCAAGTTATTGCAGGCTATGAAAGAGACCTCAAGGGGAAGATGCCCGCAGACTAAAAGACTTCTTAGAGGACTATTGAAGAAAAGGAGGAGGAAATGCGAGGATCTGGGTCCTCAGCAGGCCTAAGGGCCCTCTTGCTGCAGATGTGCCCGCCCTAAGTGAAGGCGGGCCTAACAAATCACGAGAGGCCCTAAGCTGTCAATATCGTATTTGGGGTTCAGGCAGTTTCGTCGCGCCAGTTGGTTGAGGGAAACACAGGCCGAGCAGCGAGACATTCCACGGCCTTCCAGGCCTTTTCAAATATGATGCAGGGCCTGGACGAGAATCGCAGGCTCATACACAGACAGTTGGGAGGCCCAACCGAATGAGGCCCAGTAGCTGCAACAGAGGTGCAGCATGCTGGGGCCTACCAGAAGCTTCAAGGCCCAGGCCCAGGCCATCCAGGCTGCGAAGACAGGCAGGTTCTTTCCATATACGAAAGAGCTCGCTGCCTGGAGCCTCATTCAGCACTTGCATGCTGGCGGCAGCGCTGCTGGAGCAGAGGCTCATGGGCTGCTGCTGGCGCTGAGAGGCAAGGTTCTAGCGCGTGTGGTCGTGCAGGGAGCAGGGCGCTGCTAAGGGCAGCGCCATAGCCCAGCCTCCATAGCTGGATGGGCTTGGACTACAGTGAGGCGCAGGGGTGGTCTTCGGGTGTACAGAGGGAAGACGTGGGAGAAAGTCAGGGAAGAGAGAGAAGGATGATTATGATGATGATGTGAGGGCACATACCTGGTATTGGCGATGGTCTGCATTGGGCGACATCTTCAAGTACTTCGTGGGCTGCTGACGTCAACAGTCGCATTGTCAATTAGTAGGCAGACTGTAGCTGTGTAGGAAGTAGGCTGGGCGCCGAGCGCCAAGTGGGGAGATAGGGTCTGGATACTCATGTTGGTGGTGGCGAGAGCAAGCGCTCATCGACATTGGTTTTCAGTGTTACGATTTTTCATTGGTGTTATATTGGTGCATTTCTGCTTTCTGCAAACTGTGATACTATCTGGCCTTCAATGTGATTGTGCATTCTGGACATTGTCATCTCGCTGTTGCTCATTTTCCTTGCAGAATGATGTAACCACTTTTTTTCCATCTACTTCTAGTCCAAATGATTCCACTTCAAATTTTGTTATTTTGGCTGCCAATTTGCAACCTGATTTGCAATGCGATGAAATTCTGCAAGAAGTGATGCAAATACAAGGAAGGTAAACCATTGTACACAGCTGTTGTGAATCCTTCTCACATGCCTTTTTTTTGCGGCTTTTAATAACTGTACTTCATTACTAATTACTAATCATAGGCGCACAAACACTACATAGCAGCACTTCCAAAGGAAGCACCTACTAGGGTTTAGGGCTTTTACCAGACCAACAACAGGCAGACAGGTTAACAGTTCCAACATTTTTTTATTTGTATTTTTTATTAGTATTATTTTTTTTTAACAAAACAGGTCCTTATGGGCCTGGCTCCTTTTCCATTCTGGGGAGCATCAGTCTGGTTCCTATTCCCCCGGCAAGTCAGAAAAATATTACATCATGAAACACACTCACGCTTCCTTCCATATGGCTGAAGGACCCCTGACCAGCATTGATTGCTCCCTTGATGGAGGATTGACTGTCAGCTTGCCCTAACAACTTGCTCCTCTCAGGTTCCCCTCTTGGGCCTGTCAAAAGATC